ATGACTGCTGCCCAGGTCACATCAGAACCTTCCAAGAAAGACGACCGAGGGTACCTTTGAAAGTCCTCCGTCGCTTACTTTGTGAATTTAGTGCTTCCGTCCTTCAGTTGGGGCCACTACGAACCTGGAGGCACCGTGTCCAACTTCAAACTCGACTAAACAATCCGTGTAGACATATAGGTTCTTGGACTGTCAGTACTCAGTCCCTGTTGATGAGGGAAGGTGAATGGAGCTCAATAGATCCGCTATTGCAGATTGGCACGTGTAGAGGTACAATCCGCGACATCATCATGGCTGGCTATATCAAACATGATCCTAGACGCATTGATCAGTGACTGATAACCATGCACGAATAGTGTAGACTGCATCTACCTTTCGCACAGAACAGCCAAAGCGCATACAATAACGGCAAGGATCTGGGACGAGAATATGATACGATAATACTACGTGCTGGCAGAGTCAAGCTACAAACCAAGAGCACCTTGGTGAGAATTGGTAAGTGAAGATAGCTCCAACATCATGCTAGATGACAGCCTTAAGACGTTAGATGTTCGCTGCCACCATCTACTCGCACTCATTGATCACTAACCTTCATGACCGGATTGCTACATCACATTGTCGTGGCTTTGGGTCCTGTACTTAAGTACAATCCGGTCATGAAGGTCAGTGATCAATGAGTGCGATTAGATGGTGGCAGCGAACATCTAACGTCTTAAGGCTGTCATCTAGCCTGATGTTGGAGCTATCTTCACTTACCAATTCTCACCAAGGTGTTCTTGGTTTGTAGCTTAACTCTGACAGCATGTACTAACTGGCAATAAAGATTATCTCGTGTCGTAAGTCATCATTGTTTTCAATGTGAATGCGACAAAGACTACGACTGAACGCTTACTCAGTTAATGATGTCGTCGGATGAATAAGTACGAGAGGCTAAGATTCGCCAGAAGAGCGATGACACCCAGAAGTTCGTCCACAAGAAGCATACTTCAAATTACTGGGTACCATACTCGTACTTGTGACAAAGCACTCATGTGTTAAACCAACGTCAACAGTTTGTCCGTAGTGACGCCTCGTCGGAGAAGGTGTGGACTGTGTGCCTACATTAAAAAATCGCTCGAGTAGAGGGATTGTAATGTGATAAGAATAGCCACGACTCAAATTCATGTTCTGTGGCTATGATCACCCCCTGACTTACATTGTTTCACCTTCGAACTCTAAAATTCAAGTTGCCTGTAAACGCATTTAAGCGCTTAGATAACCAATGATAAGTTAATACAACGGTCGAGGAACAGAGATGCAAAGCTATTTAAAGGGCTAGATAGAACCGATTCTCTGGAAGCCTACAGAAACCTTGCGACATTCGCTGGAACCAGCAACTTTGCTATCGCGCCAGGGGCTCCTAGTTATGAATAGTTGGGATTACGGCTAAGCCTCAAGTCATCATACATAGATCAGACTGTACGCAGTGAGTTGAGAGGACAAGACACAGCGAGTAACTCCAAATCAGACCCAGCCGTAAGTTCAACCTTGGAAAGCCGCAATTTTGTGGGGAGATAACGATGGGGATGCAAAACGTCCTCGTGGTAAAACGTTTGTGGTAGAAAGAGTAAGGAAATCGGCAAAAACAGCAAAATATGGGAAATTAACTGATTCATCTAACGGTTGTACTTACCTAAACCAATAATTCCCAAGGTGTCACCACGTATCCTTGCTGACCCCACAGCAGCTTCTTTCAATTGTTCCGGATTGCTTATTCGTTTTCCCGATCTCACCATCTCGGCCAGCCAGTAAGTCCGACGATAAAGAGTCAGTATGTGACACAGTGCAGTGTCTGCTGCTTCTTCAATACCATAGCCGGGCACGTTACAAACAGCAATACCGAGCTCGCCGGCGGCTTTTATGTCTACGTTATCATAGCCACTAAAATAGGTTCGTAACCGTGTTAAAATATAGTACCTTCCGATCCGAACAATGATTTTCAAGCTCTTGAATTTTATGAGATCCTCTCGATTAAGTTTAATTGTGTGCCAAAGGAGAGCTCCGAAGGCTTCGTTCAAGACTTTTTCGTGAATTTCGCTTGTTGCAGATGCATCACAAAAGGCAACTGTAGCCACATCCTTCAAAAGGGGCATTTCAATAGAACAATCTCTCCCGTCGAGCAAAGCCACTAAGGGGCGTGTGTATTGTGGTCCATTGACCGGCCGAGGTGTAGACATCTGGATTTTAGGAGAAAACAGCGTCATCAATGCAAAATAACCATATTATTCAAAAGCAAGACACGAGACAATGTTAATGAATGCTTTGCTTCTTACTTACCCCGATTTAGTACTCGCGGACGCGTAAAATGTAGACTGTGCAAGGACAAAAAAACGAGTGCCACAGGAGCAACCGAGAGCACGATTCTGACGGCCGTAATGACGCAGTCGAATGTCAGACGAAGGAGTGATATTTTCATTTTGAAGTAATTCATTGCCACGCCGAGGTTCCTTAGCATAAATGTTAATGAGGTTCAACACCCCGCCGTATGACATCGCTCCGCCCTAACCCCGGT